AAGGCTTGGAGAATGCTAATATGGATTCTGTGGGACAATATGACATGAATTAATGGTTTGATTACTTTTGATTCCAGAACCATCTCCAACTGTGGACCAGTGGAAAAATGTAAGAATCAATATTGATGCAAAACCTGCTGGACATAACAAGATTAACATATCATGGACTGTAAGTAAATGAAAGCTTATATCACGAGAGCTTAGCTGTTATGTTGAAAAATAGCACTGGATTCAAAGTAGAAATAGCCTTTTCTTTTCTTGTTCAAAAGGAGTTGTTCAGAACTGAAGTTCTTCTCTTTTTTCCACCAAGGTAGTGAAAGTGATTCAAAAGAAATATGAAACTATCAGTAACACTTTCTCGTAAGGTTTGGAACCAAATCAACTAGTTAAACCAACTATTTTCTTAATTGTTTATTGAAGTAGCCTTTTCCAGTGGTGGAGGAGTGAAAAAACGAGGGAGGCTGGGGTGACCCGACCCAAACTCTCTCGTTTCCAAAAAATCTCGGATGTCTGCAGAAAGAGAATTACGTATTTGACCAGTTCTTCACTTGCTTCGGTACTACAGTACAATTAAATTTAATTTACAGTGTAGTGCCACGACTAGAAACTTCTGTAAAATTAATTTTTTTTTTTGCGTGTGTGTGTGCGTGCAGATTTCAGAGCCAATGGATGGAACAAGGGCAGTTATTTATTGGAGGAAGAAAGACTCTGATGTGTTTTACATTACTCCTAATACTTCATTTGGATCGTCATACTCACTGAATGGCCTTCAGGCTAATACAAGTTATGAAATTCAAGTGCAGATCATGAATAAACAACACAAAGGGCCAAAGAGTAACTCTGCTTTCGCTAAAACACTTGCGAAGCCGAAAGGTGAGTTAAAAAGGGAAAAAATTGTCCTCAATAGCCTACTTTCGATATGTTAAAATTTAGTGCTAAAAAAGAGAAGAACAAATCATGTGGCTCCAGGGAATAAACTTTAAAGTTTGTAGAGTTTTCTCTGTGGAGCCTCGTGGATAATCGAAGCTATGTGGGCGGAATGTTTTGTGATCCAGGATTGCGTTGGATTGCGGTCGGTTGTTTTAGAACGCTCCGTGATCGTAATCGGTCCAGAAAACTTGCGCTACATTCTTCAGTCAATCAGATTCAAACTAAAACCAATCGCGACTTGGTCATGCGCATTTTGTGTAGTTTTCTTGTTCTTACTCTGATTTCTCATTGGCTCCTTGCGATATATTCCTTTTTCTAATTGGTTGGCATATGAAAACCGCGTTGTCTTCTCAATTTTTCCTCCATAGGTGTTGACGTTGTATCTAGTGAGGGAAAAATACCCACAACAGACCTTGTTGGCTCCGACGGAGAAGTCAGTGTCGTTGAAGCGCGTACCGACTCAGAGGACATCTGGTATAAGATAAAAATGTTTGTACGTCAGCCATGGTTCATTGGTACTATGGGTGCAGTTGCTTGGGTAATCCTCTTAGTCGTGGTACTGCTGTTGTACAGACAGAGGCGACATAGGAAGAAGCCAAAAAAAGCCCTGACCTCAAACGGTAGGTTTTTCTTTCCTCTTCACGGTAACATCTTTTATTTTTGCACTTTCCATGTACAACAAAACTATTCCGAGGAGCATCGAGATATGATGTCTATATTAATCAAGGGAGGTCGTGGAATTTGATATTTTCGCTGTCCATTTAGTTAAAATCCCAAACACCTGTGCTGATCGAACATTTTCACCCAAATCTTTCAAGCTAAATGAGATTGTGATTTGACTTTATTTTTTCTTTTTAGTGCGTTTACCTGCTGACAGCATGCCGGGGAGTCCAGGGTAAGTCTTGCTTTCTTAGTATAGGTAAATGGAAGGTTTGAATTTTGATGACCCCTTTTCCACGGAACGATGTAATACACGTATTGATTCAGCTACGTCACTCACTCTTGGTGGAATTTCAAAGGTTTAGGCCAAATTTTTTAGCGGGTCACTAGCAATTCATTTGAATCTTGTTCATTCTTGATCATCCGTAGTTCATTGCTCCCTTGTCACACCAAACCAATATCTAGTAGATTTCTTCAAACTGAGAGCGGTTTTGTAAGGCGTAAGATAGAAAACATTGTAAAACAAATCACGGTAGCGAGCGAGTTTTCTTGACCTATCACGGTTCGAAGTAAAGCATAATTAGGGCAATCCTGGAAATTGCCCAATTATTGATGTATAATTGTATTTTTGTCTTTTTGTCTTTTCGCAAAAGTACCCGTGCTTCAAAGTTCTTGTGGATGGAAGAGCGAAATTCAGACCCAACTCACCAACTCACCAATAACAGATCTAGCGACAGCTCAACTTCCGATTGTACACGTCAAATGGCAAATTGCTGCCGAGGGAGAGGAGGCTCGTCTAGTAACAGTCTTGACTTCCCCAATAAAATTGCTTTGAACCAGTTGTCAGGTAGGAGAATTGTTCTTCTTGAAGTCATCTGTTAAAGAAAAAAAAAGTGAGAAAAAACGAAATGTTAGTTTTGAAAGAAAGATTGTATATTATAGGACAAGTTTGATGAAAGCATTAAGCTTGGATTAACAGCAAAAGACTCTAAATAGTGACAACTTTATCTTTGCAAGAAGTACGAAGTCGTTTTGAGTTAATCAGAACGCACGACGAAAGCACGTGACGCATTCGTGACAAATGCGGGAAAACGCTGCGGGAATCAATTCGTGAGAAGCTCTTGGCTTTAATCTCCTTGACTTGAAACTCACTTTTGTTTCTGATTGGCTAGCATGATACGAAACTCATAGGATCATGGAAGTCTGTGTTTCCATTTGCTTTTGCACACGAGAAATAGGTACCACGTAATGTCTGTCTTCTTGCCTTAATGTTTGAGTTTTTTAAAAATTATTATTATTTGATCACCTCTATTAGGCAGCGGAAATCGGTTGGATACGAATCACTACAGCCCGGCTGATGTACAGCAAGGCAAAAGTAACAACATACCAAACTCAAAATATCACTATCAAGAGCATTTGAACAAGAGCAACAAGTTCTTGGATTCACCGCCAAATCGTGAGTACATTTTACTTTAGTTTTTCGAAGTACCACAACCCAAGCATAATGGCCAATTAGAACAGAGATCAGTCATTATTAGCCAATTAGAACCAAGAAGAATAGAACCAAGAACCAAGAAGAAAAGACAAACTGCTAAAAGGGCGGGAAAACGCGGGAATGAGGTAAAGCGAAAACAGTGGAGTTTCAGATTACTTTTGACACTTAATTGACTACTACAATTTTTGAGACTTGGAAAATTTCATGATATCGAAACGAGCTCTATTATGCTCTTTTTATCGAGTCAAGGCCGCACACAGGGTGTAGTAAGACTGTAACTCAAGGCGTTTTACATTTCTCCTACAGGGTATGCCACATCCAATGGATCTCGGAGTCCCTCAGAAAGCACTCTCCCGAAGAGCGGGACCAAAGAAAGAATCCGGTACCTGGACTTCCCTGAGAGTGGCACGAACAGGAGCAAATCCAGCACGAGTTCAAGGAAAAGAGACCCGAACCAGGCACCTAGTGACTCCAGCGACACGGAGAAGACCAAACCCAAGCTTAAGATTCAGTCTTTTGAGATGGCTGGAAATATTCCCACCACTAGTACCTTTCATTCTGAACCGCCTCCGACTTACGAGGCTGTCTTAAAAGAAACAGAAATGGAGATGCAGAAATTCCCGCTGACCACCGCCGAAAGGGTGGAACAAATCGAGAGTAAAAACGAGGAAGAACAAGACTCCTCTGCGAAACCCGATGCTTCTGATGCTCGAAAATCCCCAACTTTGGAGAGACCGGCCAGTCCGAGTAGCGAACGAAGCTGTAAAACTTCAACCAGTTGCGGCTCGCTTCAAAGAAAAAGGAAGGCTCTCAAACCACCTCCGCGTCTAGCTATCTTCAACTGGGCGGATATGCTGCCCCCACCCCCTTCAGAGCCACCACCGAGCAGCTTAGGATCCCCACCCCCCTCCCCACCGTTCAGCGAACGAAGTGCCATGACAGGCATGACGGGAAGGACTGGTATGAGCGGTATGAGTGCTTTGAGTGGAATGACAGGTATGAGCGGAATGACTGGAATGAGTGGCCAGACAGGATTGAGTGGTATGACAGGATTAACAGGAAAAACCGGAATGAGCGGGATGAGTGGTGTCACTGGGAAGAGTGGACTGACAGAACCTCACGGCCATTCGGGGAGGCGGGCACATAGAAAGGCTGGAGCCGCTTCTCGTGACGGTGAAAACGACCGCGAGTCTGTGACGGGAAAATCTGAAAAGTCCAAGAAATCCCGATCGAAGCCGAAGCCTATTCCGATCGACCTCGAGGGCATTACGAGTGACATCATCATGCAGTGGGCCGAGTCTGTGACGAACACTAGCGGTTCCGATGAGGAATCGTCGGCCTCAAGCCCAAGCCGAATAAGTGGTATTAGCAGTGATGGGTCTTTCTTTACTGACGCGGACTTTGCTAATGCTGTTCGTGTTGCCGCTGAATGTGGTGGGTTTAACACGGATGCTTATGGACTCATGGACTCACTCGGCATACCTCCCCCTTATGCTGCGGGCTGGAAACGCAGCAATTCATTTTCTAATGATAACGAAGCTAGCCTTGGAACCGCGGCTGCGTATGGCCCGCGTCCCCTTAGAAAAAGATGGGAAACTGGTAGCGAAGGTGACTTAGAGTATAATCCACCACCTAATCGAGTACGTCCCAGGCAAAGACGAGACAACGAAAAGGGTCCCAATGAGAAGGGACCTAACGATACAGGACCGGTGCGCATCCAGAGAGTGCCCCCTGGTGAGCTTATCAGACAACTTCCCGGTATGCGAGCCCCTGTACCTATAGTACCCTCACAGCCGAGGAGACCACTTCATAGGGTTGCTCGGCCAGGGGGGCCGCCCCTGCAGACGAACCCGGCCATGCTGGTGCAGCCCTTGAAGAAGACAACTACACTTGGCGTGGTTGACCCTCGGGAACCGCTTAAGAAAAAGTACGCCATTGTGAAGAAGATACCTCAAAGTCAGGAAAACGAGAGAGGAACTGGGTATCAGAGTTGTAGCATGAGTTCAAGCAAATCAAGTACAAGTACGGCCAGTACTGTGAAGAGCAGTTCCTGTGCTCCAACCGTACATGATGACTCTGACCTGGAAGGGGTAAGCTGACGATTATTTTGACTAATATCTGAATTCTATGCATGGTGTCCTCACATTTTAAAGGTAAATGTGACGATAGGAATTAAAATTTCAAGGTTGGCAGCATAGCCGCCTGTCTTTGCCAGTGAATTTTGGTTCAGATGATATGCGAAGCTGTTGTATTCACATGCTGGAAAATTATCCTTAAGGCAATTCAAAGTGCTTTTTGCCTAATTAAATGTCAAGTAATTTTTTTCCCTTTCGTCCAAAATTCGTTTGCCAGGAGTGCCTTTTAGTAGGAATATTTTCTTTTATTGATCGATTATTTCCTTTTCCTTTTCCAGTCGGTGGCATAACTATAAAGCAAGATAGCTATATGGCAATGGATAGAAGAATTGGAGCTTTGTGACTGCTCTTTTTTTTCCAAATACATAAAAATTAGAAGCGTTACTCCTATGTTTTAATGCGAAGCGTTCACAAACAGTATTTGGTAACTATTAGTTCGGGTTAAAACAGTTGCGTATGTTTTTTGTTCAAGATATGGAGTTACCAGAGTTGCTTGTCCTCAAAGTAACACTGGAAAATTTTATTACTTAAAATTTTGTACTCAAATATAGCGTTTTTGTGGACTTATACAGCGGTAAACTGATTCTTTTGCTTCCTACAGTTTCAAGCTACAGTATTATGAAATGGGATCTTTATATAGATTTGTGTAGATAAATGTACAGATCGACTGGAGAAAATTTGTCCCGGGAATTTGAAAGGAGAATTCCTTTTTACTTCTCTCCTAATAGTCAAAATTTTATTTTACAGTGAGTCAATATATTATTGGCTGGAATTGACGTTTGGAGATCAGATGGTACTGATGAACACGCTTTATTGTAATACACAACTCTAAATTTATTTCTTTTCGTTGGTACTCCATGCGAGGCGCTAAAAAAGATAAAAAGCATTTATTTTTCATGATATAAAATTATAGGCAGATTTGTAAAGGAAAAATGTGATTTGTTGTTTTTTTTTATGATTGAATTTTATACATTGACAATGAAAGTGGAGATGCGCCAGGTCTCACTCGCGTGGTCCTAGATATCCCAAAAATATGTACGATCCGATTTTTATTTTGGGCAGAATTTAAAAGAATATTATTTGAATTGTTTTGTATAAGAGAAATTGATGTTTACTTTAGAAAATTCCAAATAACGTTTTCCAAAGAATGTACTCATATTCAAAAACAGCAGACAGTAAAATATAATAACGTTATTTTATTTAAGAGCTTCAAAGCCTTCGTTTAGTTAGCATATCTGTTCCTGATAAGTATTTTTAATGAATCATTTGGATTTTGGCATAAGCGACATTGTATGAACAACAATGCAGTAAACAATAAATTGCTAATTACTTTGAATCAGTGTGCTGTGTCAGTGCGCATACCCCAAACCCCACGGGGGTACTCTTGAGTTTTTGTTGGGGGTAAGCAGCCTGGTTTTCCAAATCCTGACTCTCTTTCAGAGTAAAACGTGCTCGAATTTCAGATCTGTCCTTTCATAGTCTATAGCCATTTTCAGACTTGGCAACGGTGCCTTAGTGAGAGGATCAGCTCAAATGATATTTTTCGGTTAGGGACCAGTTACCATTTGCCGCCTTGTCGGGGGAGGGGGCAGAGGATTTTTAGGGGGTCAGTCATCGCCAAAAGAGTGTAAGGGAGGGGGGGGG